ACAGCAACAGTATTCTTTCACTAGACTCTGACACATTGGCTGAATATAGTTACCATCATGGTTTCCCTGTAATAGGGAATGTATAGCCTTCGGATGAAAGCGCTGGGAGCGGCGTGGGAGGGAGGCTGCCTTTAAATCATGCAGATAAAACATCCGTAACTTTATATATAACGCAGATGATGAACAAAACACATTTCAGTAAATGGTGAGAAGTCTGCGCAGTGTGGATGCCATTCCAGCTAAACTGCAAAGACATAATTAGTACATAGAGGAGCGGATCGTTCACCCAGCAGCACAGAGCCGATATCTCAGATGGATCAGCCTGGAGTGGGACGCGGATGCTGGAGGGCCGAGGAGCCGGACGCTAGAGGGCCGAGGAGCCGGACGCTAGAGGGCCGAGGAGCCGAATAAATTATGCGTGCTCGCAAAAATCGCAAAGAATGACCCACACCGAAAATTGGCCATAGGCGACACTTTAAAACGCTTTTAGCGCTCATGAGTTTAGTGTTATCAGTGACCCGAGAATTATTGCTCTCATTCCGACGTTTGCGGTGATATGTAACATGTGCGGCACAATCATCGTTCTCGCACGTAGGCGCACCCGATGCATGTTTGTGTGTGTATGTGGGGGTCGGAGTTTTTTTTTATGCTTCTTTATCTTTATTTTTTTATACTTAACTTTATTATTATCACATGGAGGGCTAAGAAGCTTTGTGATAACCAATTTACATGACAGGTCCTCTTTATGGAGACATCAGGGGTCTCCAAGACCCCTAATGTCACCTAGGGAGCCCCAGAGAAGCTGATAGCCAATTTACATGACAGGTCCTCTTTATGGAGACATCAGGGGTCTCCAAGACCCCTAATGTCACCTAGGGAGCCCCAGAGAAGCTGATAGCCAATTTACATGACAGGTCCTCTTTATGGAGACATCAGGGGTCTCCAAGACCCCTAATGTCACCTAGGGAGCCCCAGAGAAGCTGATAGCCAATTTACATGACAGGTCCTCTTTATGGAGACATCAGGGGTCTCCAAGACCCCTAATGTCACCTAGGGAGCCCCAGAGAAGCTGATAGCCAATTTACATGACAGGTCCTCTTTATGGAGACATCAGGGGTCTCCAAGACCCCTAATGTCACCTAGGGAGCCCCAGAGAAGCTGATAGCCAATTTACATGACAGGTCCTCTTTATGGAGATTATCAGGGGTCTCCAAGATCCCTAGTGTCACCTAGGGACCCCCAGAGAAGCTGATGAAGCTGAGATCTGCTTCAGCAGGTTCTGTAGCCTGGGAATGACAGCTGAATGCAGGAAGTGATGTAATATGCATCACTTCCTGCATTTGGGGACCGGAGAGGAGATCAGAGGGGGATCGTGTACTGAACTCCTGTCCCAGAGCAGCCGTTGCCGGTCCCGGCGGCACCGGGCACAGCTGATCCCGGGACCGGCAAAGGCAGTGACGGGGGGTAAGGCCCCGTTCACATTGAGCGATTTATCGCGCGGTAATTCCCGCGATATCGCTCTTCAATGCTTTGCAATGGGGCAAAGGGTCCTGCTGTCGCGGGTCGTGTGTCGCTACAGCAGGACCCTTTTTGGAGCGGATTTTGCCGCGATTCAATGCAAGCATTTGCGTGATGTCGCTCAAAATGCGAATCGCCAAGTGTGAATGGGGCCTAAAACCACACCGAATACAAGCGATCGGGCGTCTCTAGAGACGCTGGATGGCTTGAATGTAAAGCTCCCGGCCGGCCGGCAAGCTACTCGTCCGGCTCCGGCGTCCTCTCGTCGCAGACTAGCGCATTTTTCAATCCCTGCAAATAATAATCCCAGTAACGGGCCTCCAGAACACAGACACTTCCTGTGTGAGGGGGACGCAGAGGTTTCAGTGACATGCACGGCGGCGTTTCGGTGGATGTGTCTGGACAAGTCGGTGTACACAGAGGCCGCAGACTATTCAATAACACAGACTGGGTACGTGAAGGGAGACGGAATACCTGACTCCTCCCCCCACCAGATTCCAGGCTGTAATCACATACCAGGATAAGACGTTCAGTAGGAGAAGAGGAATTTATGCTCCTCAGCTCCATCTAGTGGTAGGAATGGTATGTAAACAGCAATTGTCTAGCTTTGCACAGTGTGGGAGTGTAGGGGGTGCTCAAGGACGGCCGGCGGGTGTGCGGGAGGTGCTCAAGGACGGCCGGTGGGAGTGTAGGGGGTGCTCAAGGACGGCCGGTGGGTGTGTGGGAGGTACTCAAGGACAGCCGGGAGTGTAGGGGGTGCTCGAGGACGGCCGGTGGGTGTGTGGGAGGTACTCAAGGACAGCCGGGAGTGTAGGGGGTGCTCGAGGACGGCCGGTGGGTGTGTGGGAGGTACTCAAGGACAGCCGGGAGTGTAGGGGGTGCTCGAGGACGGCCGGTGGGTGTGTGGGAGGTACTCAAGGACAGCCGGGAGTGTAGGGGGTGCTCGAGGACGGCCGGTGGGTGTGTGGGAGGTACTCAAGGACAGCCGGGAGTGTAGGGGGTGCTCGAGGACGGCCGGTGGGTGTGTGGGAGGTACTCAAGGACAGCCGGGAGTGTAGGGGGTGCTCGAGGACGGCCGGTGGGTGTGTGGGAGGTACTCAAGGACAGCCGGGAGTGTAGGGGGTGCTCGAGGACGGCCGGTGGGTGTGTGGGAGGTACTCAAGGACAGCCGGGAGTGTAGGGGGTGCTCGAGGACGGCCGGTGGGTGTGTGGGAGGTACTCAAGGACAGCCGGGAGTGTAGGGGGTGCTCGAGGACGGCCGGTGGGTGTGTGGGAGGTACTCAAGGACAGCCGGGAGTGTAGGGGGTGCTCGAGGACGGCCGGTGGGTGTGTGGGAGGTACTCAAGGACAGCCGGGAGTGTAGGGGGTGCTCGAGGACGGCCGGTGGGTGTGTGGGAGGTACTCAAGGACAGCCGGGAGTGTAGGGGGTGCTCGAGGACGGCCGGTGGGTGTGTGGGAGGTACTCAAGGACAGCCGGGAGTGTAGGGGGTGCTCGAGGACGGCCGGTGGGTGTGTGGGAGGTACTCAAGGACAGCCGGGAGTGTAGGGGGTGCTCGAGGACGGCCGGTGGGTGTGTGGGAGGTACTCAAGGACAGCCGGGAGTGTAGGGGGTGCTCGAGGACGGCCGGTGGGTGTGTGGGAGGTACTCAAGGACAGCCGGGAGTGTAGGGGGTGCTCGAGGACGGCCGGTGGGTGTGTGGGAGGTACTCAAGGACAGCCGGGAGTGTAGGGGGTGCTCGAGGACGGCCGGTGGGTGTGTGGGAGGTACTCAAGGACAGCCGGGAGTGTAGGGGGTGCTCGAGGACGGCCGGTGGGTGTGTGGGAGGTACTCAAGGACAGCCGGGAGTGTAGGGGGTGCTCGAGGACGGCCGGTGGGTGTGTGGGAGGTACTCAAGGACAGCCGGGAGTGTAGGGGGTGCTCGAGGACGGCCGGTGGGTGTGTGGGAGGTACTCAAGGACAGCCGGGAGTGTAGGGGGTGCTCGAGGACGGCCGGTGGGTGTGTGGGAGGTACTCAAGGACAGCCGGGAGTGTAGGGGGTGCTCGAGGACGGCCGGTGGGTGTGTGGGAGGTACTCAAGGACAGCCGGGAGTGTAGGGGGTGCTCGAGGACGGCCGGTGGGTGTGTGGGAGGTACTCAAGGACAGCCGGGAGTGTAGGGGGTGCTCGAGGACGGCCGGTGGGTGTGTGGGAGGTACTCAAGGACAGCCGGGAGTGTAGGGGGTGCTCGAGGACGGCCGGTGGGTGTGTGGGAGGTACTCAAGGACAGCCGGGAGTGTAGGGGGTGCTCGAGGACGGCCGGTGGGTGTGTGGGAGGTACTCAAGGACAGCCGGGAGTGTAGGGGGTGCTCGAGGACGGCCGGTGGGTGTGTGGGAGGTACTCAAGGACAGCCGGGAGTGTAGGGGGTGCTCGAGGACGGCCGGTGGGTGTGTGGGAGGTACTCAAGGACAGCCGGGAGTGTAGGGGGTGCTCGAGGACGGCCGGTGGGTGTGTGGGAGGTACTCAAGGACAGCCGGGAGTGTAGGGGGTGCTCGAGGACGGCCGGTGGGTGTGTGGGAGGTACTCAAGGACAGCCGGGAGTGTAGGGGGTGCTCGAGGACGGCCGGTGGGTGTGTGGGAGGTACTCAAGGACAGCCGGGAGTGTAGGGGGTGCTCGAGGACGGCCGGTGGGTGTGTGGGAGGTACTCAAGGACAGCCGGGAGTGTAGGGGGTGCTCGAGGACGGCCGGTGGGTGTGTGGGAGGTACTCAAGGACAGCCGGGAGTGTAGGGGGTGCTCGAGGACGGCCGGTGGGTGTGTGGGAGGTACTCAAGGACAGCCGGGAGTGTAGGGGGTGCTCGAGGACGGCCGGTGGGTGTGTGGGAGGTACTCAAGGACAGCCGGGAGTGTAGGGGGTGCTCGAGGACGGCCGGTGGGAGTGTAGGAGGTGCTCAAGGACGGCAGCCTGATTCCACTAGCTGCCCAAAACCCATGGGGCAATTACAGGGTCCCTTACCCCGGCAGCAGTGTACTGGAGTAGCTATTTAAATCTGGGGAACAACAATCCGTCCTGGGACCTCACCACATTTACTTACCCGAATCCACTGTCATGTGACCCTCCGCAGCCCCACCTCTCGTAGTGTCAGGACCGCCCACTATTATTGCCAGTGAGATGAGACATCCAGCATCATCTATCCTTTCCTCCCTTGTCTAACTTTGCCTGGCCCCGCCCCTTTCATTCATTGTTCGTTCTTCCAATCACTGAAGCTCAGCTTCACATGTGGGCGTTACCAATGCAATTACAGCCTGCCTAGGAACGCCCACTCCTCCAGACTGACACCCGCCCATCAAGGCATATTGATATTTGCATAACTCCTCCCATCAGTCCGCCCACTCATACATTGATGCATAGCCCCGCCTCCGCTCCTACCTTGCCCACTTCTGCGTTGCCCATGCTGGCGACTTTAATCCGCAGCGCCTTGCGGGTCTCCTTCCGCTTCTGCAGGTTGGCCTCCATGTTGTGTTCAGGATTGGAGGCGCAGCCGATGTGCGCGGGGCGAGAGGCTCAGACGGCAGAGGAATTCTACACACCTGCACAGAACATACATCACGGCTGTGTCATGAGTAGGTAACGCATGGAGCACGGGGGTCATAAGTAGGTAACGCATGGAGCACAGGGGACATCAGTAGGTAACGCATGGGGGTCACAGTAGGTAACGCATGGAGCAAAGGGGACATAAGTAGGTAACGCATGGAGCACAGGGGTCACAGTAACGCATGGAGCATGGGGGTCACAGTAGGTAACGCATGGAGCACAGGGGACATAAGTAGGTAACGCATGGAGCACAGGGGTCACAGTAACGCATGGAGCACAGGGGACATCAATAGGTAACGCATGGAGCACGGGGGTCACAGTAGGTAATGCATGGAGCACGGGGGTCACAGTAGGTAACGCATGGAGCACGGGGGTCACAGTAGGTAACGCATGGAGCACAGGGGACATCAGTAGGTAACGCATGGAGCACAGGGGACATCAGTAGGTAACGCATGGAGCACAGGGGACATCAGTAGGTAACACATGGAGTACTGGGGTCACAGGAGGTAACACGGAGTACGGGGGTCATCAGTAACGCATGGAGCACAGAGGACATAAGTAGGTAACGCATGGAGCACAGGGGTCACAGTAGGTAACGCATGGAGAACAGGGGACATCAGTAGGTAATGCATGGAGCACGGGGTCACAGTAGGTAACGCATGGAACACTGGGGTCACAGTAGGTAAAGCATGGAGCACGGGGGTCACAGTAGGTAACGCATGGAGCACAGGGTCGTCAGTAGGTAACGCATGGAGCACAGGGTCGTCAGTAGGTAACGCATGGAGCACAGGGGACATCAGCAGGTAACGCATGGAGCACGGGGGACGTTAGTAGGTAACGAGGAGTATGGGGGTCACAGTCGGTAATGCATGGAGCACGGGGGTCACAGTCGGTAACGCATGGAGCACGGGGGTCACAGTAGGTAACGCATGGAGCACGGGGGTCACAGTAGGTAACGCATGGAGCACGGGGGTCACAGTAGGTAACGCATGGAGCACGGGGGTCACAGTAGGTAACGCATGGAGCACGGGGTCACAGTAGGTAACGCATGGAGCACGGGGGTCACAGTAGGTAATGCATGGGGCACGGGGGTCACAGTGGGTAACGCATCGAGTACGGGGTTCGTGGTGACGTCATCCCCTCACCTGTGTCATGTGACACTCCCATCAGAGCCAAAGGTGAGCTCAGGGGAACTCTCCTCAGCTCTGTACACACACAGATACTGCCAGTGAATATGAGGTGAATTTCAGTCATGACACACGCGGACCAGGGAATGTCTCGGGCCAGGACATGCACGGGCACGCTCGTTTTATGGGTTCAGACCCCTGAAAACGGGGACTGTCCCCGACAGACGTATAGCAACCCTAATATAGGTAAATCATAGCACAGAATGAGCTGTATGACGGTATAGGGCTGCGGCATAGTCGGTGCTCTCACCGGTGTAAGGGCTCCCCTCAACCGGCCCGATCTCCCCCTCTTCTCCCACCGTCCTCCGCCATGTCACCGAACAAGGGGGCGGAGACGCATGACGTCACTACCTAGCAACAAAAAAAGAGGCTAGCAACATGGGGGAGGAGCCTGATTTGACACACATATGATTTCCATAGACACACCCACTCCAACTCCCGCAGTACGTTATTGCCTGGCAAGCTGTAGGAGGGGCGAGGCTGGGCTCGGCGTCGTATCCTAGCAACATCCAATGCACCTGGCTGCAGACAAGTTGTCAAAGTGAGGCGGGAGTTGTCTGGAGGATGCTGAGGTGATGATGATGAGGTGATGAAGTATGAGGTGATGAAGTATGAGGTGATGAAGTATGAGGTGATGATGTATGAGGTGATGATGTATGAGGTGATGAAGTATGAGGTGATCCTGGGGTGATGCTGAGGTATTCCTGGGGTGATTCTGAGGCCAGGTGCACACTTGGGCGATCCCCTGATGCGTGTCCCAGGAGCATGCGTTCCTGTACTTGTACCTATTTTCGCACCCTCGATCGTGCGCGATTGCACGAGCAGAATCACGGCGGGCAATCTGCCTGGCGCGACTTGGGTGCCATTGCAAAAGAATGGCACCGCCAGCGCAATCAGCGGTGGTGTGCGATTTTGTGATTGCGCAGTTTCATACACGATTGCCACGCTGTCACGGATTGCCCAAGTGGGAACCTGGCCTGAGGTGATGCTGGGGCCGGGTGCACATCTAAACTGCAATTTTCACGCGTTTCCGTGCATGATTGCTGTGCGTTCGTGGAGTTGCTCACAAGCGCGAAATGCGCGTGTGTCATTTATTTCTAATGGCACCTCAAATGCGTGCTTTTTTCCGCTGTGCTTCCCCATGTGCAAACGCACACAAGCGTGGCAGAAAATAAATGCGCCCCGTGCATCGCACAAAAAGGTACAGGAGCCTTTTTGCCGTGCGGTTATGACCCTGTTGAAATGAATGGGGCCGTGCAGCACACACGGCATGCAAGCGCATTCCCAGGACACGCATCCTGGGAACTCGCAGATGTGAACCAGGCGTGAGGCGATGCTAAAGGCTGGGGGCACACCTGGGCGACTCCTGCACGTGCGGCAATCGTTCACAAAACCGCAAGGATTGCTATCGCGCTCAAGGAGTCGCCCACCGCAGCCGATCGCGCTGTAGGTGCCATTATTTACTGATGGCACCCCACCGCGATTCCACCCGTGCAATTAAACACGAAAAAAACTGTGTGTCGCAAAAAAAGGTACTTGTGCCTTTTTTTGTAGCAATTGCCATGCGGATGTCACTCCATTGAAATCAATGGGGCTGCGCGTCCACCGCTGTGTACACCAGCACACGATTGCGTGTCCTGGGTGTCGCTGAGGTGTGAACGTAGCCTAAGGTACAAGTACCTTTGTTTGCAACACACGACGCATGGCTTTTTTAGCCGCGCGATCCGCTTTTGTGCACGATTGCTGCGCGATCAGGAGTTCGCCCAGGTGTGAACCTAGCCTCGAGCGATTGTGAGTCAATGCTGAGGTGATTCTAAAGCGATTGTGAGGTGATGCCGGGGGCCAGTGCACACCTAGGCGGCACCCAACCACGCAGCAATCGTGCACGTCGCCCAGGTGTGCACCGATCGCGCTGTGGGTGCCATTATTTTCCAGTGGCACCCCAGTCGCGCCAGGCAGATTGCGTGGATTCCGCCCGTGCTTCAGAACACTAAAACAGCCGTGCGTCGTGTACCAATTACTGATACTTTTCCTCAAGTACTCGCCGATACCAATTACTGATACTTTTCCTCAATACTCGCCGATACCAATTATTGATACTTTCTGTGCTGTAAACAGGCGCCGTGTTGTTCCCAGGTTGCCATGAGGTCCCCAGCAAGCGTGGGACCTTACGACAGCCGATTCAATGTAAAAATGTAAAGCGGCATTGTCAGGGCTTGAAAAATCCACTCGTCTGTGACGGCGGACGGCGGAGCCCGACGAGCAGCTTCCCGGCCGGCCGCTGTAATTACACGGCCGGCCG